ACCTGTTATAAATTACCTAAATGTAATCCATTGCTGGACTAACGACAACATGCTGCCCCCCCTTAGCAGCTGGTCCCGCACCTCCCGGAGTTCCAGCACTTTTATTCCGACATGCTCCTGAAGGTGAACTTCATCTACGTCGACAACGCCATGGCCGAGTTGGACCCTGAAGACCAGGGAAGAGCCAAAGGCCCTCAAAAAGCCTCCCTCCATCCTGCCCACCAATCAGAGATGGAGATGCTTCTTGCCCACCAATCAGAGAGGCAGATGCTCCCGGCATACGCCGCCCAGCAAGGAGCCCATGAGGGGGTTGTGAAGGCGGAGCCAAGGACTGTGGTTCAGCAGGAGGTTCACGGTGTAGAGGTGACTCAGAGCAAGCACTCCAACTACGGCTTCGTGCTCAAGGCTCAACCGGTGGAAGAGGTGGCCAAGGTTACCCAGGCATGCCTGCCGTTTGCTGGCGAGGGCCAAGTTCCCGGCGACAGGGTGGGCGGAGCCTCTGCTGCATACAAACAGCAGTGGCAGGCTGCCTGTCCGGGCCTCCAGGAGGAACACGAGACAGAAGAAGGCACCATAGTGAACTGGGACCCGCAGACCGGCACGATTCAGCTCCCTCTGCTCTCTGACTTTGAGCCAGAACTCGAGCCTGTGGAGGAAGTGAGCCTGCGCTGTGACGACGCCCATTCCTTTGATGTCTTCTCTAAAGTTTACATCAGGCGCTCGCTAGATGGGTCCACTGAGTTCGAAGATGATCTGACCAAAATGGAGAACATCTGGGCTCTCCAGGTCAACATGTGAAATCAGTGATATTCCACTGTTTGCCAAATCTTACAATGTCATGCGCAGGGTGTTTGTGGAAGGTGTGCACAGCTGCCGTGTACAAAAAATAATGAAGGAAGAATTATAGTGTTGATTTAATTAGTTAATGTTTGCTTTTATTCGCTTTTTAAAACATGATGTTTTCATTTTATACAATGTGTTATACATTAGCATGGCTATTTAAATCTAGTTAATCTCAGACTAAAATATTTCATTTTAATTACGACTGGGCGTCAAAACGAAAACGACAATTATCACGATATATTTCCCTCCATATCGACGTGCCAAATACTCGATAAAAGTTCGAAATAATTTAAGATCAAACACTTACTGGTGACACTTTTGGTATCACTAAATGAGGTCACTTTCTCTTTGACTACGTTAGGACAAGTGTTGCGCTGTAAACTGCCCCTCTGCTATGGATTGTTTCCCCTGATGTAATTGTTACAGTGAATAGTGAAATTGGTTTGATGTCATATCATTTCCAGGTGCGACAGTGCCGAGTTTGAAGCTAATTGCCACATTATAGGTATGAAAAGAAAACAGAATAGGAGAAATTTTGCACCAGGATTGCTTCCACAAAGGGAAATTAAGTTGTCATAGCGGAATGCATCACTTTCGCATTTTAATGAAACAGTAGTAACTGTCATATTTGCAATTTTATAGAAGGTTATTAATAATTTGATTGTAAAATACCAGAAGCGAAGCCATTGGCTTTAAAAAGAGGGATTACGTCAGAGGAGGCAATCCGGGTCAAGGGGGGAGTTTAGAGCACAATACAGTGGAGCACAAGCGCAAGCACAGCCGTAAAAACGGGGAAAGTCCACAGTAAAGTTCAGTCCATGAGAAATCCCGACAGTAATAATCCACAGAGTATTAAGAATGGATAGGGAGATCGCACAGCAGGGCGTTTTTTTCAAAGATGACTAAAATTACCCGGGGTGAGTTTCCTCGAAGCCTTCTAAACGCTATGCCGCAAAAAAACTTACACGGGAAAAAAAAATCTGTTCTTACACGGGAAAGCAAGTGCGAAAGTAAGAGCATTTTATTTTTTTGCTCAGTAAATTATCGATATCGACCATTTGGAATTTTTTTTTATCGTGAAAAGATTTTTGGCCATATCGCCCATCTCTAATGTTAATACGTATGTATAATGAGCGAATATGAAGGTATAAATAGCTGTTAGGATATAATAATGTAATATATAGTATAAGACTCTCTGTGTAGTATAATTTTTGTATTCATTTTAGTATTAAATGATTATTGCAGCAACTTAGCAACCTGATACAGTGAACCAGTCTAAATCAAACGTTACGGAGAGTGAGTTTTAGCCTGGTGCGAGTATGGGTAATGAAGTTACACCAGTGAGCATTCACTACAGAGCATTCACTACAGAGCATTCACTGCCAGTTTACTTTATGATAGAGTGAATGTACATCCGCAATTATTAATGCTTGTTCATTATGTTGATTTATTAAATATCCTGTATTACCACATAGTCAGGTGAACTCTGCAATCTAATTGTACTCGTTTTGTATTCTGTTCCCAGTTTGGTCAAACATTCACTCGACTGGGTAATATCTTTTTTTTCAATTTATTGGGACATCTCTGTTTACCGTGGTAATGTAAACTGTAAAAACCTTTACAGGAAATCCACCACTGAGACAAAGTCCTCATGGTATGAGATTTTATCTTTGCTGACAGAAGGATGGAAAGTAAATTGCTATCTAGACTAGTATCACTGTTTAAGGTTACTACTTTTTGCTTTAATATTATTTGTAAAAGTGTTTATTTTAGGCAGATGATCATTGTATTTGGCACACACTTAATTAAAAAATGCAAAAATCCAGCCATTCTCAGTCATATTTACCTCTTTACGACAAATATTACACTAATTTACATAATGACCACTTGAGGGCGACACTTCGGTGTGACTGTTAGCCCAGTCGCCTCACCTCCCGGCCACCTGGTTTGGCTGCTGCTCCTTCTATGTTTGTATGCTTACATGTTTTCTCTGTGTTTGTGCTGATTTTCTCCTGCTTCTCCGGTTTCCTCACGTTATTCAAAGGCATGCAGTTTGGAGAACTGGCATCTCTAAATTTCCATTATATCTATTTGTATGTATGTGTGTGTGTGTGTGTATATATGTGTATATATATATATATATATATATTTTCCAAATGTATCATGATGGCCAGTGCAATCTACTCTAATGATTAACTGGCAGGTGACTTGATTTTTGTAGCGAGAGAATTCCTGCTGTTACAATCACTGATCCAGAAATAGCCATCTGAGATCTAACCAGAAGTATTTCCACAAGATAATTAGAAGTAATTCAGCAACAGGACTGAAAGTACTAAAAAACAGGCCCAAATGTAGAGCCTTTGGTAAGGATTGATGTATGGGATTGCCTGGGTATTATTTTCTGAAAATGCTTTGTAATAATTTGTACAACAACAAGCAGATTGTTCTTACAAATCAAGCTGACCGGCTGGACAGATCGAAGAAATCCCCTTTGCTGGCAGTATGTGGAAGTCAGATGAGGGAAGGATATTGTATACAGATGAAATTGGCTACTACACAGCAATAAACACGAGACTTCTGTGTCCAAACATCCCCTCTAGTCCACAGGATCTCTCATGGTACAAACAGGACTTGAGCATAATGCCTCACCTAAACAAATTGCGCTGTTCCCACCTCATGCAAGGAAGTGAAACGTGGCTGAAATCGCTGATGCGAATGCGGCATTGTTCACATCGCTTCACGGTCAGCCGCATGACAGTCCACAGTGAAGCGACGGGAGGGTCCTGCAGGTCTGTGCTTGAGAATCACCTCATTATGCTCAGCTCACATTTTTGTCTTTCTCACCCTAATTGTGAGGCATCAAACACACGCTGATGAATTTTGGCCTTTTATCAGCAAGCATGTCTGTATGAGGGAGCATCTTTCCTTCTATTCCTATTCACAAGAAAAAACCTTCAAATGTCTGTGTCACGTTCGGAAGGCAGGCGAGCCGTGGAAGCAGGCGAGAGCAGCCAGGAAGTCAGGTAAACGGGGTTTATTGAGGGAGGGAGGGACAGGCACGGACATCTACGGACACTACAATGACGGATCTGGGGAAACTAACTGAGACACGGACTAAATTCAAAAGACAAGTTAATAATAATAATAATAATACATTTTATTTTCAGCGCCTTTCAAAACACCCAAGGTCACTTAACACAACAAATCACAAATACATAAATAAATAAATAAAATTAAAAAAAAAAAAAAAAGTTGAACATACTGTAACAGGCAACAGGTGATCACAATCAGGGATTCACACGAGGTAATGAAGGGGGCGTGGCACACATCAGGATCGGACGGAGCGGATCATGACACTCTGTATGTAGAAAAAGGCAGTTAAATTATCACATCCCATGAAAAGACAAGATTTATTGAGTGTTGTGCTGTATGCGGAGGTTTGTGTTTTGTGTATTTTAAATTGATATCAACAAAACAAGATAATATAAGGCATATAACATGAAATATGACAAGGAGGCAGAAAAATCCAGAATGAGGAAAAACTAGATGGAGGGGTGCACATTGTGCAGATGCAGTAATAATGCATTTTAGGTATGAGGAAAGTGGAATCAGCACTGAAGGTACAGAGAAAAGGGAGGACAGGTGTCCACAAAAGATTTAATATCATCATTCAAGGATGCTTTTGCATTTTCACATGATTTGTGGATAGTTTTAATCTTTCCAGTTAGGTAATACTGTTTTTTAGCAGTGATTATTGATGCTACCAAGTAATATGTCATAATCCTGAGCAGCCTTTCATTGAATTACTGTCCCGGGTGGGTTATTCCTCTGTGACGCCATGCTGGGAAAAAGATTGGTTCATTATTAATTAAAAGCACAAGGTTATGCCCAAATGGAGAAGGAGTAAATGATGAAAGACTGTAATTAAGAATTTCATTTGAAGTTCCAACAGTTGTAAGCTATGCCAACAAAAAATTCCGGTGGCCTTGGTCATGTGGCAATAAAGATTCTGATGCTGATTCTGAAATATCTAAGTATATGATGAACTTCTCTGGAAGGGGGGGGGGGGGGGGTCCTGGACTTCAACATCCCAGCTGAATTTGGATGTAGGCAGAATCTTGCATTTTGTTCAGTTTACGGAGTTGCTACACCCACTACTATAGATACTAATCAGATCATGAACTGATGGGAGAGAGGACACTCAGATACCATCACTTTGCCTTATTGAAGCAGTCAAGGGTTCAGTAAAAAGTGTAAACAGGAGCTTTGTGGATCTCCTCTGTTGTCATGGTTTAGATATAGTTTGGATATATATGAAAAGCATCGATACCTTATGTATTTTTAAATATATTGTAATATATTTTGCAATATATTTTGAAATGTATGAATGAATAGACACGCAAACAACGATTTTCTAATTAATGTTATTTATGGAATACGTAATGTCATTAAATCCATAATGAAAATATTTTTTAGATATTTCAATTGTGATTACGAAATAGGCCTACACCTTTGACAAAAAATATACTGAGATGTTCATCTATCTAAATATATTTTTGTTTTGTATAGTTAACATGAGTCACTGAAATGTTTCTGCTCTTTCCGGAAACATGGAGGATTGGAAATCAAAAGTAAAGAGCAAACGAATAACATCCGCAATCTGTTCTCTGCCACTAGATGGAGCAATTTCTCCGTCATAAAAGCATAATTTGGAGAAGTAGCCTAACAGTTCCATCAGACACGGGATTTTTAAATTTATCTATTCATCCTTCTCCCACAAAGCTTATCTAATACAACGTCGTGATGTGTCTACCTGAAATGCCGAAGGTTAGACACATCGAAGCATAGGGAATGAAGTATAAACATATATAAAAATAGTATAAAAATTTTTTAAAATTCATTTTGTATTTTACGGTCTTTTCTGGTGTCTGGTTACACCTGCTAGCTTCGTATGTCTGATGCATCTGCCACTTAGTGTTACTGCAGGTGACAGTGAGATTACAGCCATGCGCCTTTTAACGATGGAGATTGTGCAGGGTTGCCACTGGAGTGTGATTTGCAGTTCGTGGCAAGTCTGCACACGCTTCTACATATATGTAACTGTTATATTACCTTGTGAATAGCCTGTGGGATTTGGAAACTACCCCGAGGCTTTTGATGTAGCTAATGTTAGGTTTAATTTAGATTTGCCGCAAGATTTTCTGCGTGACTCAGAAAGCGTGAGAGTCACGCCACGCGTAAGAGTTGGCAAACCCGACAGTGTACTTACACAAACTTGCATAGCAGGCTATAGCGTACTACACACTTGAGCTCTCTTTAGTGAGCCGGATCATTTAGTTCAGCTCAGGTTTTGTAATTCAGGAAAATTTAGCAATGTTTTGACCTATGATTAATATGTGTGCACGTATACCACTTCAATTACTAAATGTAATTATACTAAACCGCATTATTTACATTACGTTTGGTATAAAAACATTAATGTAAAAACATCAAACACTATTACACGCGTATTGAATGTTGTAAATTAGCGTTTCGCTACGAACGCTAAACGCAGTGTACCTGGGGCGCTGTTAGATTTACAGTCCTAATATGCCTTTGAAGGCTGTTAGAAGAACTCGGTCGAAATAACGGTTTATCTTACCAATTCTAAATTTAGCCTTTGCGCTGTCTGTGATATTAAAATGCATCCAAAAGGAGCTTCGTCTGCGACTGGCACTCATCTTGTTTTCTGCTGTTCGTGCACCCCTCTCGTCTCTGCCCACCCCTCAGACAGCCCACCCCCCCTTGACCTGACCCCCCCGATCCTTGTCTGTCATCACACATGATTGCTCATTGGTCACATCAATCAACATTGTGTATCTAGACCTGTTTACATTTTGAAATAAATCGCACCAAAACTGAAGCAATGGTGCATTGTGACAACAAAGAGGATGGAAAGCTCATCCTTCTGAACAGGATCACCATATTTGTTATCAATTCATTTGCTCTATTTGACCTTTAATGGATCTTATTGCCACTGCACAAAAACAGTATATGGATGAAAATCTACACTTGAAAATGTACACGTGACCACACCAAAAATCACCTCGAAATTCGGAAACTCGACCCGCAATGATAGAAGGTGGCTGAGGGTGAAAATGGAGCCTGCATCTCTTATCTTTCGGACAGAACCGTCTCCCATCTAAATTGATTCTGAGGATCTTCTTGCAAACTTTCTAGGAGCATCGTCAGTGATTCTAACTGTGGGGCGCAAGAGTTCTGAATATTCTTTGAATGAAGTTGATTTTTCATTGCAATCCTCTCTGTTCTGTAAATTTTACTGGATAAGTGACTTTACCCAGTGGCAGAGAAGGAGGGAGACCGGAGGGCAGGAATGTCAGGGTCAGTGTCCATCCATCCCTGTCCTATATGTATGTTCCCATTTGACCAGCAGGTGTTGCTGACCATCCTGTTACCGCTGTCATTTAGCCCTAGTCCCTATTGTGTTTCTCTGCGCCCAGGGCTGTCATGTAGCTTGATGGGTTGGATGAGTAGCTCAGAAAATAACACCCCTCTAGTTGTGGGTTCAAGGTTGTCCTGTGCTTGTACTGATTGGCTAATTGAGTTATGCTTTTCACCTGTCCTGCGTCATGACCTGTTAGTGGTGTATTTAAGCTGCTTTTGTTCCTTGTTGGTTTGTTGTGTCTGTTTTTCCCGTGTGACTGTTTCCCTGTGTAGCACTGTATTTGTGGTTGTATTTTTGAGAGTTTTCCCCCTGTGTAGTTATAATAGTCTGGTTTACATATTACCCCCATCAAAAAAACCCAAATAGCCAAATACCTTGTATTGGGTTTAATTACCTATGGGTTGAGGTTTAGTTGGGTATGGGTTATGGTTGTCATTATTAGAATTAGTGTTATGCCCATAGGAATGAATGGATTGTCTCCACAAAGATATGAATGCAAATATGTGTGTTTTAAACTGTTAGAAATATATATTAGATGACTGAACTGAAAGTCAAATAATAAATCTTTGGCCATATCCTAATTCAGGGGCTGCATCCTTCTAAGGCTGCATTCAAAGATCAAATGCTTCACGGCACTGCGACAAGGCTGTCCCGTTTCGAAGGCTCCTTCACAGGCGTCACGGCACTGCGACAAGGCTGTCCCGTTTCGAAGGCTCCTTCACATGCCATCTAGCAATGCATCTGTTTTTCCACTGGGTAGTGAAGGATTCACCTGATGGATTCTTTGCAGCCCAATATCTTCATTGAACGGCCCTTCGAAGGATGTAGCCTACAATAGCTCCATCCTTTGAAGGATGCAGTCCCTGAATTTGGACACAGGCTTTATTAGCTTGCTTTGCGTGTAAGCCTAATTCTGTCAGGGTCAGCTCCTGTTGTCAGTCTGTTTTACCCTGCTCCCTGTCGGCCGCATGGCTCAACTCCTTGAGCGTCCGGTTGTCTGTGAACCCCTCTGTCTTTGTATTGTTTCATCAGATTTTCTAGTTACTGTGATTTTGTGGTTTGCTTTCTGTTTTTGGTTTCTTGTTTTGTGCTTTGGTTGTGTTTTACCTGCCTTTCTTATTCCCCTGTGTTAGATTCTGTTTCCTTGTTTCTGTCAGTGTCTTAGTCTTCCTCTCCCAGTCCATTGATTGTGGCCTGTTTTCCCAGTCTATGTTAATTAGTCTCGCCTGCCCTGTGTTAGTCTTGTTACCCAGTTTAGTTTCAGTGTTTAAGTCCCTCCCTCAGTTTAGTTCCCCAGTGGTTCGTTGATTGTGATTGTTTGATTGTGATTGCTGATATTAGCTGTAAGATGTATGTTCTGCCTGCCTGCACCCATTTGTAATTAAACCACATACATACGTAATTAAATTTAAAAAATTAAAATTTTTCCCCTTAGCTTTTGACCCCTCGTGGTCTTTTTCTTTGTAGTATTCCGAGTGTTTTCTGTTTTTGTTAATAAACCCCGTTTTGTCCTTCGAGCCGCAAGTGGGTCGTCCACATTTCTGCCTTCATCATGCCTCGTTCTCGTGCCTGAACCGCCTCGTTTTGTAACAAATTCACCAACAAAGGTGAAAATCACCAATTACTCAGTCAGGTGTTGGGTATTTATCAATATCAAAAATGCAAAGAGCAAACTTGTGTTCTAGGCAAGAGTGTTCTTGTTAACTTGCCTCCCAAGAACAAACTTGGGACACAATGAATCATGAGATTGTTTTCCTTGGTCAGGATGCAACCGATGCATCCTTGATCCTTAGGGCTGGACAAGAACGACATCTGGGGATTTTTACTGTTCTACCTCTTTCGTTCTGTTCTTGAGTATTGGAACTGTACTTTGGCAATGGAAGATGATTTCAATCAGGCAATGTGAACACAAGAACAGTCAAGTACACATATTGAGAAACATCCTGGGTTACTTGTCTGATTGTCCATCATAGATTGTATCGTTACATCGCCCAGTCCTACGCCATTGCTGTGTCTGTCATGGTTCTTACTGTAATGTCATGGAAAAGGTGGTCATAGTACAAATGAGAAATAAATATTTATAAATATATTAATATTTCGATGTATAAATACTATAAATGACATTTTAAGAAATGGAAATTAAGATACAATAAAATATGACCCAAATGTGGAAAGATTGTGTGATTTGTCATGTATGTAGAATGTGCAATAAATGAATAAGTGTTATTTCAGAGTTACGTGTCACAAATATGACTTGGGGCATTTGGGTAAAAGCACATTTATTGGCTTTCACATTTCCAGTTGTTCCATCCAGCACTTCTACAAATGGTGGGGGTTGGGCAGTATGTGAGGAGTATGGATTAGATGGGCGGGGCTGGTGACTGTGCTGTCCAGGGACTATAAAGCTCTCATTACACCTGCTCCCTCTCTAGTTACTGTACACCCTAGAATATCACAACAATGTGGATATACTTGTAGCCCAGCCCAGCCAACACCTAACAATTACAAATGCTTCACCTTTACACACTATACCAATTGTGTTCTGCCAGTATGTTATGCATTTGCTAAGAAAATAACTACGGATAATACTTTCCATATAGTGCATCCAGGATAACACTAGGCCACCTGACATTTTGATTGTATCTTATTTTAATTACAGTTCTGAGAACAGAATAGCACATGCAAAAAAATCTTCTATTGATTTAATTATAACAGGGTACCTAATTCCCAGATGAAATAATTTATTTTTTTATATATGTTCCTTTTCTGTAGAGATATTTACTACAACATCTGAGAAATTAAGGTTGTTTAAGAGTAAAGCAATGCTGATCTGGGTACAATTTCAGGATGTGTAACAACTTCCATAAACGTGAATAAACTGGGTTACGGACAGTGGTATGTTTACGTGTGTGTATTACATTGTGGGGACATTTGTAAGGAAAACCTGTTTTTTTATGTTGTTTTCGTTCCCCACAACGGGAAACTCAGTTTTATGCAAATCTATTAGTGGAGTAAAAAAAAAAAAGTACCAAAAGTCTTGTATTTAATTGGGTTAATTATGGTTAAGTTTAGGACTGGGTAATGGTTAAGGTTATCTTAGCTGGGATTAGGGTTATGACCACATAAATTAATGTAGAATGTTCTTCATAAATGGCGTAATGCTGAAGAACGAGAAAGCGACGACCTGCGAAAGCTTCCCCCTCCACCACAAACTCCGCCCAGGCTGCACATGAAGTTAACCGTGATTTCAGTAACCCAGCCTCACTGAGCAGACTTTGCTCTTGCAAACCTGTCCGCCAGGAGAGACACTTGCACTCCGATGTAGTCTACATACTTTAAGAAGCCAACCTGGAGGATTACCACCACAGACTACAATGACATCTGGGCACCTGATGAATCCTCAATGCTAAAGCACATTTTCCTGACGGCACTTTCCCTTCTTTCAATAAGGGTTACAGGTAAATATAATTACCGAAATATCAACGGTTCTCTGTATTCGCATATCTCTTCTCGGTTTAAAACAGTAATATGTTTGATTATTCATTGTGACTAATTAGGCACTGTTTCACAATCGCCACAATCGGGGACATTCTGATACACTTCAAAGCGGCAAAAAAAGCTTAACACATAATGTAGGTTAACTCAGTGCCAGAATAAGAGAGTCAAACTTCTCGCAGCCTTTATGGGTCGTAAACACTATCAACTGTAAAGTGATTGAAATCGCAACCCAGTCTAAAATTGATATTTAGGACATTAACGTTTCCTCCACATAGACGTCTGTTGTAAGGAAAAAGCTTACGGTTAAGGCCTACATTAATGTGCCAAAAACAATGCTCGAGTATAACCAAATTCTCCTACACTTTACATTCTGTCAAGACTGCTTCTGTCAAAAGACTGAAAATGAAACCAAATGCAAAGCGTATACTTTGAATGTCAAACATCTTCCTCTCCATCAGGATCTGTTATAAGGAAAAGACTTAACATTACCCTACATTAATGTAACAAAACATACAGCTGCAAACTCCAAATCTGTCTCCCACTTTACTGACTCCATGTGTGACTTATATGGTTATGTCATATTGTAACTGCAAAGCACAAAGTTATACATTAAGCTTATTTTTTTCCTTATAATGAATCTTGATGGAGAGAAAAAGGTTTAACATACAAACTATACATTTTCCTTTGCATTGCATATCCGATCCTTTCATATGGGATAGTGTTTATGATCTGAGAGGTATAAGAGCGAAATTTGGTTGTGTTTGGTCATTGTTTTGATTCTAAAACCTTAAGATTTTTGTCTCCATAGCCTCTCTAATGTGTGCTAATGAAAAACAGCCTAACGTATAGGTTTGTGTTTATACGTTACAGATTCCTCTGCAGCAGGTGTGCGTAATACAGTGTGGTAACTGTGTCGGAAACAGTCGATTCCGCGTAAGGTTACTTTAGAAAATCGGCCAGTTTTGTTGTAATTGCTTATGATACGCAGATAAAATATTCTTATTGATATTATTCTTATTTTAGTTGCGATGTGTGGTTGGAGGATGAATTTAAGTTTGTAATGCAGTATTATGCAGTATTAAATTCAATTCGATTTTATTTTAGAGCGCATTTTCATTCTCAGAGGAAATCATTACTTTGTCTCAAAGCGCATTGTACCCCCCTGAAGCCCCCATGCAAGAGGGTTTTGCATGTGGCTGCGGATAATTGTACTCCACAATGTGTTCAATTGTATGCTATTACTGAGAGCTTTGATATGAAATTACAATTTCATGTATAAAATATTGATTGTTATCTGTGACCCGTTCTTAGTTTTCTAACGTATTCTTAGTCATGGCACACCGTCTGAAGCTCAGGAAGTTTATGGGGTTTTGAAACAAGACGAGGGAACATAGTGTGGTTACATGAAGTTGGCGAAAAGAACTTCTCTGTACCTAAATACAACACTGTTAACTTTCGTGTCGAAAAGGTGTTTTCGCCTCAACAGAAGCTCTTTAAAATATGTTTGAAATAAACGAGTAAGAAAATGTAGCCTATATTAAATGAAGAGGAGTTGTGCCTGAAATCTAAATAATTATAAAAATTCAATAGCATGTCTCATTTAATGACTTTATATTTAACTGTATGGATTGACCATTCCAGTTTAAAGGAAAGCATTCAGTAACTTTTGTGTTCCTCATAGCCGTCACTCACGGAGCTGCTGTCGCTCCACCCCAGGATGTCAAGTTCAAGTCTATAAATCTGCGGAACATAGTGGAGTGGAGTCCTGGACCAGGGACACCGAAGGGGACATGGTACGCTGTGGAGTATGCAATGTAAGGGCCGTCCGGATTCTCCAGGTCAATTAGCTACTGGCGTGATCAGCCTCTAGCAGAGTTGCCAACTTTGGCCAGCTGGCTAGCGTGAGATTTTCAATTCGAAACAAATCTGCACACGCATTTACATGAGTTTTATTACCTTGTTAATGGTCTGTAGTGTTTGCTTACTGCCCCAGCGCTTTTGATTTTAGGTTTATAACGGAATAATATAGATTTTCATAAGATTGTGTGCGTGAGTCAGAAAGTGTGAATGTTGCACCAACTGCTGTAGTTATTCTGGTTCGTCTGTATCACTTTACCCAAATACTCCACTGTCATATACAGTAGCAACAGAAGAGTGGCAATCAAATACTGTGTATCTTTCCGAATTGCCAGTGTTCAGAATTACTTCTGCTTAACTGTATGACTGCTGGTTGGCTTGGTGGTTAACACTGCGGCCTCACGGCCTCCAGTGCTGTGAGTTGAATCACTGTCACTGTTTGGGTGGCGTTTACATGCAGATTCTCTCCTGTAGTCCAAATGCATGTGGGTAGGTGAATTGGGGCTTTTTAAATCGAGTCTGATTATGTGTGCTGGGCTCGTGCCCTCAGATAGACTGGCATCTGCTCCAGGCAATAAACTCCTGGCACAACACAACCCATGTTGGATAAGTCATTACAGAATATGGATGTATAGCCTAATTACCAAATACTGTTTTTTTTTTTTTTTTTTTTTTGGTGAAACAAATGGTAAGATGACAATAGATTATCATTTGAAAGGAAAAGGGAAATTAAAAAGAGAGAAAAGAGATCACTCAACTCACAAACTCAGACTGGTTATTATGCAGTAGGGTTGGACAATCCAATTTTAACTTCAGTTACGATTTTGGCTGGCAATGATTTTCAAAACAAAATAAGTGAGATAAAACAATTTTTGTGCTGCATTTTGTTTTGCAGTGATTAGGACTGGGTGATACGACCCCAAATCAATATCACGATTAAATGAACATTTTACCTTGATTACAATTAATTATTGTTTAATTTCTTTTGTTTGTTTTGTTTGCCATCATATTTCACTGACAAGATTTGTACTGAAAATATGCTTACCTGTTAAATTCGGGATATTTTTTCTAATGAAAGACTGTATATCTTTGTGATTTAAACTAATTGAAAGCAACACACAAATGAAGTATTTATGGTCATTTATTGAACATTTCTAACAACTGACATCAAATCACAAATTGCTTGAAATAAAAACGTCTTATGAAAAGGGTAACATTTTAATTTTAATGTAAATAGCAAGTTCCCTAAAAACGTAGAAAATACAGTTTGCATTTCTTAACTACAGTGATCATGTCTATCTGTGTGAAATTCATCACCATAAGTGGATCATCATAATAACTGATTTTTTTTTCCTTTTTCTTTATGTCTCAGGCAGATTTCTGTCAAATTTACATTTGTATATTTATTACATTTATATAAGGTAATAAAATGGACAGTGTTGCTATTTACTGAATTTTATCGACTCTTTCGAAATACATTACAGCTGTTTCAAACGCTTTTCAGTGTACGATACTGCACAAATTAAATGACTAAACTGTATAATTCCAATACGCTATAATACAGTACAGTGCGTAAAATATAGCTTACTGTAAATTAGCTGCTGCACCTCGGTGGCTCGTTTTTAGTAATTTATCATAAGCCTCGTAATTGAGAGAAAATGACTTTCTTTTTCCCGCCATGTTTTCTATGCTATTCTATTCTATTTAAAATCCAGTGCACCGCTTTCCAGATGCTTTTCATTTGTTTCTCAGTTGAATTATATTTAGAGTTAACGGAAATCCACTGTTAAAAAGACAAGTTTTTTTTAAAAGCTCAATTAATGCGTGATATTTCTAAAGTAAATGAGTAATCGTGTTACATAACTGTGATCTCAATATTGACCAAAAGAATCGTCATGATGATTTTTGCCATAACCTGGCATCTCTCTTATGCAGTATATATGTGTAGGGGTTGCATGCTGTAATTTACTAAAAAGAGTGGGCATGTCTCTGATGGAAAAGAAAATGATATAAGATACTGATATCAGATACTGATTTAGTGAAATGTGTTCAGGGATAAACCATAGCAATGCCATAAAAACAAATATCAGTCAAATATCTCTTAATTTTCTTGTTGCCACTGACAGTTAAATTCATTTAATGGGCCAGATCAGTAGATTATGTTCCCACGGAGGTGTTGACTCATGTCAGTTCCTTGGTGAGGGCCTTGCCATGCTACTCCAGTTCTCAGGTTGCGACTGTTCCCTCCTGCAGATACGGTGAAGAGGACAAGGCAGCACCCGGCCAGGAGGTATGGAAAGGGGTCAAGGCATGCAAGAAGCTAAGGAAGACCTGGTGTGACCTCTCTACTGAGACCAGTGACCTGGAGGAAAAGTACTATGCCAGGGTCAGGGCTGTGGGCAAGAACGGATCCTCAGAGTGGAACCACACAGACCGATTCGACCCCTTCTTAGACAGTAAGCCGACCTGTCAATCACCAACATCATTAAATTGACCACAGTACCTCTGTATTTCATTGATGTATAGTGTGTTTATTTATATCTTATTGTTTACAAATATGTATGTATTACTCATATCTTATTGTGTGTGCGGTAATAAGCATAGATATCTTTATATGTAATCAGATGTTGGCAATCTTCCCAAGAAAACATATCACGATCTTTATAACACACAATCTTGATCCACATTATGAATTACGATCTTTGTTCCCAACTTTGAAACTTTGTGCTTTCAAGAATACCCAGACTCAAATAAGTGTAAGGACTAATCTATTAGCACCATTTAAAATACAATATTGCATTAAACACATGGTAAATGTCAATTAAATTCTGAGATACACCTTTGTTCAATATAACAAATAATTTGTTGGTTGCTTCCATTTAAGGTGGTAGCATAGATTTGCCATATTACCTCTGGAACTGTGGCCTGACAAACTTTGATTTATGAAATATCTGACTGTGTATGCCCGATTTGTAGTTTGCACGTCTGCACATGCACAGAATTACACTTTACGGCATATTTTATGATGGTACCACTTTGTTTCATGACATTTTCACGACCTGACCTGCTTCCATTAATAATTATTTTCTACATCAGTTTCCATTTATGAACTGCTTGTCATTGATCTCCACCAGGGATATTAAGCCAGATATCTATGACTGCGTCTTTATGGGTCTCGCTAGGTACCCCAGTCACGATGGGGTGACCATATATGTCCCTCCAGTATAGACTGAACCAACGCTATAAATATACCAAAATACCATGTCGTTGGATAGCAGCGATTCCAACGGACGGAATATAAATAAAAATTACGGATATGGGATACCGTACTTATGTAATGGTATTGATCCCCAAAACTGGATATAGACAACCAAAGTGAATCCTTAAAACAAAATAACAACCAAAGAAACTGATTTTTTTTCAGTCAGCAGAATCATTAACACCAGTTCTTGCTAAACAATAAAGCCGCCCCTGTAGTTGTGGGATGACAGTGTCAGACAGTATAATGCGGTGCAGACATGCAAGGTACAGATTGGGCAGGTAGTACACGTCGAGTAGTTACACCTTGGATCTGTGCTTTGTTCACAAACCAACACAATCACACGTCTCTGGCACAAGGTCTCTCTTGTGTGACTTATCTGAAAAACAAATCAATGTGAGCTATCGGCATGGCCGATGTGGAAGTATGGTACAGATCGGGTAGTGACAGAGCTTAGTTCTGGCCATTGTTTTATGTGAAGTTTTATGTGAAGTTTGGCAGTATTAGTAGGAGGACATAAAAGATCACGATCTCTATGATTCGCATGAAAAGTGGATTACAGACGTCTTCAGGATGGATCACGATATAAAATCGCCAGATCACCCATGCCTATATGTAATTACAGTATAATTAAGGTCAGGCATTTTTGTATTGAGAAGGGCTTTAAATGATTTCTTGATCTAAATTCCTTTTGAATTTGCTGCACATGTATGAGGTATTGAGCTGACAGACATAAAAGTCCTTGTAGCAGTGGGTGCTGCAGGCTGAGGTGTCTGATGCATGTTTTTGGTTTCATTTTTCTCTACTTATCAGCAACCTTTGGACCACCGGTCGTTAACATTGTGGTGAAGGAGCGTCAAATGTTCATCAACCTCACGGGTCCAATGAGATGGAGTAACAAAGAAAGCAATGAACCTATGGCAGAGTACTATCCGGGGAGCCTGATGCTGTACAACCTGTCCGTCCACAACAAAAGGACTGGGCAAACGGTTGGTATTTCTTTGCAAATTCCTACTGCTTCTTGGAAATGAGGCCATGAAGTTCATCGTCACTCTGTGTTCTTACATTTACAAGATTAAACCACACAGGAAGCTGGAAGCCTGTATATGTATGTGCAAGCAAAGTATATTTACAAAATGTAGCTATCTGTGAATTTATGGACTGTTTATAAAACACACACTCAAGCAAACACACATGCACACACACACACACATATGTGCACACACACACAGCGTTTGCAGTTCAGTATCAAAACACCAGAATTATTCTTTAGTTTGCTGTATGGAAATGTGTCGCGCTGAAGTGTAAATGTGTAGAGTTGGTGAGCATGGTAGCTGAGGGAAAACAGCTCCGTCCATGTAGATGGTGCAGATTTCTGTCTTCAGCCTGAAGAATGCTTCAGCTTCTTGGCACAACACTTCAAAAACATCTTCATATCATTCCCAAAAGTGTGTCATTCACGCTTTCATTTTCATTTCATGGCAAGGGGGTCATTAGTCAAAATTCTTTTGATTTCTTGGTACAGTACCATTCAGTTATATTTTCCTGTTATGTCAGGAGATCCACCTTCTTGACGGCACCTCGAAGGAGCTTTTATTGCAAGACTTCAACACTCTGTACTGCGTCTCTGCAAGCGTCTATTTCTCATCGCTTCCCATAATAACCCAGGTGTCTTTGAAGCAGTGTGTGACTACGGGAAAAGGTAAGTAAGTCCTCTGTGCACGCTTACTGGATTAACCTGACACAGGACATAGTCTCAGCTCACAAAAGATTGTACTTTCCAGGTACACACAGTAATTGTATTTTGGCCAACGGTGGTGTTTTCCCACAAATATATCCGGCTTGTTGGCCTCCTTCCTGGTCTGCATACAATCAGTTTCTTTTCCCTGTTTCCATGTTTTCTTTCATGCGTTGAGTTTCAGGTTGCAGCTATTTAGGGCTGGCCAGGTGTGCTCTGGTACTCTAGGCAAGATTCTGTTGAACAACCCCCTCCCCCCCCCCCCCCCC